TACCAAGTATTTTCTAAGGGAAGTCCATAAGGGCACATGCGGAAATCATTCAGGCTCCGAATCGATGGTTTGAAATGTAATCAGAGCCGGCTATTACTGGATCGATATGGAAAAAGACGAGAAGGAGTTCGTGCAAAAATGTCATGAATGCCAAAGACATGATCCGATGATTCACTAACCCGGTGAGCTTCTGCACTCGGTCTTGTCACCATGTCCATTCATGAAGTGGGAGATGGACATCGTTGGCCCTCTCCTATTGTCACCCGGTAAGGCTCAATTCATATTGGTTATACTGACTATTTTTCTAAGTGGGTTGAAGCCCAGGCATACAAGAAGGTCAGGGAGAAGGAAGTCATCGGCTTTCATTTGAGACCACATTATATGTCGGTTCGCAATGGCATTCGAAATCATGTGCGACAACGGGAAACAATTTATCAGCAACAAAGTGACCAAATTTCTCGAAGACCATAAGATCAAAAGGATCCTGTCAACATCCTATCACCCTAGTATGAATGGACAAGTAGAATCGACCAACAAAATCATACTCCAAAACCTCAAAAAGAGGTTAACTGAAGCCAAAGGAAAATAGAAGGAAATCCTTCCCTAAGTCCTATGGGCATACCGTACGACCTCGAAGTCTAGTACCAGGGCTACCCCGTTCTCGTTGGTTTACGGTGCTGAAGCTCTAATATCAGTCGAGGTCGGTGAACCAAGCATCCGATTCTGATATGCTACCAAGGAATCGAATGAGGCCATAAACACGAGCCTAGAGCTATTAGATGAAAGGCGCAAAGCTGCCCTCATCTGGTATAGCACCCATAAACAACGGATCGAAAGGTATTACAATCGAAGGGCCAACCTTCGACACTTCAATCTCGGGTACTTAGTACTAAGGAAGATCACACTAAACACCCGGAACACGAAAGAAGGGAATTTGGGGCCGAACTAGGAAGGACCGAACCAAATTCTCGAGGTTGCCGAAAAAGGATCATACAAACTCGGGGCAATGAACGGTGAAAGGCTATCGAATAACTAGAACCTAACTCACTTGAAGCGATACTACTGCTAAGGTACGACCCCATTCATTTTCTTTTTACTTATTTTTGAATTAACAATTGCAGGTAACCAACAAGAAGCGGTACAAATTTTAGGTCTGAAAGTACGCGTTGCACTCTTTTTTCTTGAACCTATTTTGTCCCAAATGGATTTTCCAGCAAGGTTTTTAATGAGGCAATAGTGGATCGTGCTAATTTATAATAGAAGGTCGGCCATGAATCGGTGTTAAGGATCGCATCAACAGTATCCGAGGCTTCTCTCTATGATCAACCTCGAATACTGGAGGGCATTACCCTTGGATATTGACTTTAGCAAGCAAAGAACTTCGTGATGGAAGGGTCTCGATAGGTAGGATTTATTGTAAGGGCCAAATGGGCAAACGAACCATGCCCATATAGATTGCTCGACCCCTAGCACAAAGCATGTACACAAGTATAACTATTTTACACAAGAATAAAAATAAGTCTCTCCCTTGCGGATAAATATTTTGTCATTTTAAAAAAAAATCTTGCATTTCTCAAGAAATTTCCTACATCCGATCCCCTAAAGGTATCGAGCCCAAGGGCCACCTTAATCCGAGTTCGAACAATCACTCTCACACGGGGATTACCGTCTGAAAACAAACTTGGATGGTCCGGGCTATCGGAGCTCGGGGGCATAAGACCTATCAGGCAACGCCCGAATCTTAAAGGCCACGGCCATCCCCACTCGGGGACTGTTATCTGATGTTGCCCAAACTCATACCACAATTATAGGTAGTGAGGCGGGCGAAGCAATAATAAAACCCAAAGTGAGTCGGGGTCGAATCCTTAGGGAGTTAGAAATAGGATTAGGTATACACCTAGTGTAATTGTATATAGTGCCTCAATTTGCATTTCCACATTCTTGTAGGTTATTTCTATTTCTACCCAATCTATTGATTGCAATTGATAAACTAGAAGATAATATTTTTGGTTTTGGTTATTTTTCAAGTGATAAAGGATCTAGGCTCGTGACTTCCACCTAAGTGGTTACCTAACGGGTTGTGAATTCTAAGGGAAGTTTGATTAGTCGGGGTCGTAATATAGAAATCACACACAATTACCACTCTATACCTCTCGGTAGTTTGAGTGATTTTGCCCAATTTGGCTTTCTCAAGTCCAAATGGGTATTGCTCAAATCAAGTGATATATGCTCAAGTCGGGTCATACTATCTCTAGATTTGACCCTTTAATTGGGGCTATCAATTTCTTGAATTCACCCCAATTCCTTGTTAGCCAAGTTTTTCTAGACTTAGTCTCTCTTTCTCAAGTAGAGACTAAGTCAAATAAGCATGAATCAACATTTGCAACCATTAATTTTAGAATTCAAGCATAAACAAGGCTAAATATCACTTATCCAATCACAAACAAGCCCTAAAATCAAATTCCAGACAACCCCAGCACAGTTCCTAGCACGTTCGAGGACGAACGTATGTTTAAGTGGGAGATGAAGTAACGACCCGACCGGTCGTTTTGAGCCCTAGCGCGCCATTCAGCAGTTCGAGGCCATGAGCAGCTTCAATTCAGGCATTTTAACTTGTACGCATGGTCGGAATTAAATTCCGGGAAGTTCGGAGTTGACTTGGAGAGGAAATTCTCATTTCGGAAGCTTTAAGTTGAGAGAATTGACTAGGATTGGATTTCAGAGTAAACGACCTCGGAATCGGGACTGAAGGTTCCGGCAGGTTCGTATGGTAATTTCGGACTTGGGCGTATGCCCGGATCGGGTTTTGGGTGACCCGGGAGCGTTTTGGCGCCTATTGTGGAAGTTAGCATTTTGGAAGAAATTTCATAAGTTTGGGTTGAAGTGCATTTCAGTGTTATCGATATCCGTTTGGGAATCCGAGTCTGGGAGTAGCTCCGTATGGTGATTCTGGAGTTGGGAGCGCGATTGGAAGTGAATTCGGATGTCCGTGGAGCATTTTGGAGCCATTTGGCTAAGGATAGAAATTTGAAGGTTTTTGAGAGGTTTGATCGGAGGTGGACTTTTTGATATCGGGGTCGGAATCCGATTCCGAAAGTTGGAGTAGGTCCATAATGTCGAATATGACTTGTGTTCGAAATTTGAAGTCAATCGGACGTGATTCGATAGGTTTAAACATCGAAAGTAGAAGTTTGAAATTCTAAAATTCATAAAGCTTGGATTGGAGGTCGATTCTTGGTTTTAGCATTGTTTGATATGATTTGAGGCCTCGAGCAAGTCCGTAATGTGTTTTGGGACTGGTTGGTATGATTGGTTGGGGTCCCGGGGGCCTCGGGTGGATTTCGGGTGGTTAACGGATCGAAAATGGAATTTTGAGAAGTGCTGAAGTTGCTGCTTCTGTCATAACCGCATCTGCGGTTGGTGGACTGCAGGTGCGAGACTGCAGAAGCGGTCCATCTATCGCAGAAGCGGCCCAAGGCCAGGCAGCCCAAGATCGCAGATGCGGCCCTAAATCCGCAGAAGTGGAACCGCAGAAGCGGTGGGCCTGTCCGCAGAAGCGGTCTTCTTTCTGCAGAAGCGCTGGTCGCAGGTGCGGCCCAGGACCGCACATGCGGAAATCGCAGGAGGCAGTGGCCTTCATTTATTCGGGCTCTAGGCCATTTTTGTTCATTTTCACTCATTTCTTGGGCGATTTTTGAGGTCTTGGAGAGGTGATTCCGCCTAGCATTTGTGAGGTAAGTTATTTATAATTAATGTGAGTTTAATACCTGAGTTTTGGGTAGATTAACACATAAAAATTTGTGAAAATCATGGGAATAGAGTAAAACCTAGGGTTTTGTTAAAAACAAGATTCAACCACGAAATTTGTTGTAGAATGAAGTAAAAATCGTATATTCTTGATCCTTAGGTTATAAAGAACAACTTCTTTCGAAAAAAATTTAGGAATCCGGGCACGTGGGCCCGGGGTCGGATCTTAGGAAAATTGTGTTTAAGCGTGGGAAATTGCTTAAATAGTTAGAATATGATCTTGTAAGCTTATATTGACTAGTTCCTACCACGTTTATCTAGTTTCGAATCGTTCGGCTCCAATTTGAGGGTTCGGGCTCATTCTTGGTATTGGAAGTGCACATTGGAGCGTGGTGAGTCTCCTTTCTAACCTTGTAAGAGGGAATTTTTCCCATAGGTGAAATAATTGGTTATGTGCTCCTATTTGTGGGGGCTACGTACGCACGAGGTGATGAGAGTCAGTGCGTAGCTACTAATATGTGTAAGTCCGGGTAGTCTAGGACCCAAAAGTATGCTATACTTGGAATATTTGCAATCTTATTGACAGTTGAATTTCTTAAATCCTATTGAATTGGTAAATGAATTTCTAAGAGGATTGAACTTTATTCCTTAAATCATTAAAGAGAATTGGCTTCTAATGGGATAAATGTTCCCCGTAAAATTTCTAATTTGCTGTTTGAGCATGTATTTCTATGTGTACCTGCGTCGTATGTATGGTACGCGAGCAGGGTGATTGTTTATTTAAGAGGATTTTTTTTTTAAGAGAAGCCCTAATTATGAAATGAGCCCTAATGAGCAGAATGAATGTATAGAACTCAGATAACCAACCCAACTAGCTTGGGGATTGAGACGTAGTGTTGTTGTATTCACCTTCAATGCATTGGAACAACAGATGGTTTTACCTATTTCAATAAAGAAGGGGCAGATTTGAAAATGGTTAACAAGGGGCTGTTTTATTTCCTTTTCCTCTTTATAATTCAGTTTATCCAGTCCGCGGTAAGCATTGGCATGCTGTAAGATGAAGTCCTTTGGATTCTGGTTTTCCACTTATTAATTTTAGTCTTTTAGACGTATTTGATTGATAGTCCTAACCATCGAGTTATCTCCAGGGATTTATCATTCGGCACTAGAGGGGAATGTACTGAAGGCCATTGAACTTACAGAACAGCTCGCTCCTGACTTATTGGAAAAAATAAGGATCTGCATTTTGATCTCTTGAGGCCAATGACTTCTTTGGCAGAGATGAAGTTACATTTTCTGACAATTTTTTACTATCTTCCTGTGGCAGCACAGAAGCTCTGGAATTTGCACAGACGAAGTTGGCTCCTTTTGGAAAGGTGCAGAAATATGTTGAAAAACTTGAAGTACGTTTCTTCCCTAGCGAATCTCTCAGATATTCTCTTCTAATTACCTTGAACTTGTCTAAGTATTGGAATTTTGTGGCAGGACTTCATGGCTTTATTAGCTTACAATGAGCCAGAAAAGTCGCCCATGTTTCATCTATTAAGCTGGGAGTACAGGCAGCAAGTTTCCGATAGTTTGAATAGAGCAATACTTGGTGTGTTTTAACGGGTCTTTCTTGGTGTTATGATTTCTTATGGCTGCTTTCTGTCCTCTCACTCATTTTCTCTGTCTTGCTCTGGCAGCAAATTCCAACCTCCCCAGCTATTCTGCAGTTGAAAGGTTGATACAGCAGACAACTGTTGTAAGACAATGCTTAAGTCAAGAATCCAGTAAGGTTTGATCCTAGAACTTTATTTCGTGATCTGTTGCTTAGCATTCTGCAGACAGGGAGTATAGAGGAGTGAAAATAAGTGTTAAAAAGCGAAAATTTTGACACTTCTTGGTCAGTCTTTATCCGTTGTGCCTTCTCTTTTGGTTACACCATTTCTTTGTTATTCTTGGTCGTGCTACTTCGGCTAAATCATTTTTTTCCACAAGGACTATCTAATTAGCAGTTCCAAGATTCTTAATGTCTGATCGAGTTGCTATACTAACTTTTGATGACCGTCATGTTTGCAGGAAGGGCATCCACCATTTTCTTTGAAAGACTTTATGAAGAGCTAGGTGAGCCAATTTAGGAACATGTTTCCACTAATCACAGGAGCAATTACTGCATCTTGAATTCCACTGACAGCTAGATTCGCATTGTCTGTTTTCAGAAAGCAAAAAATGGAATGGCTGATCAGATCATGGATTCTGTGACATTTTTCAGACCTCATGAGTCAGCCTCAGGGCAACTGTGAGACATTCCAGTTGTAGCGATTTGTTTATACTTAAAAGGCAAATGTCATAAACGAATGCGTTAGTCAAATGCTCTGTTTACATGAAAATTCTTATGCACTCGACATTAGAAGAAGATTAGATCAGGGAGAAAATGTTCTAAAAAGATGGTGATGTAAATAATTGACCTGTAAGTGGATTTTCTTAAATTTAAGAAAAAATTAAAAGAAGATAAATGGAGTTTTTTCCCAGTTGGATAGGATATAAGTTTACACACTCTATCATACAACTTGAGCCAACCAAAACAAGTTGTTTCTCGTTAGTAAACCAAAGTGATACTAACTCTTGACCATCAAATAATCCCAACGAGATTCACATTGTGGCTAACTGGTGGTTTGCTGTCTCCACGACTTTCCATTTTTTCGTGCTGCTCCTCAAGGTTTCATCTCCGATCTCTCTTTTTTGGACAAGATTTCGTTACTTTCCATGAGTAACAACATTATTGAGTTCATTATTCCAATGATTTCTCAATTATTTGAAATTATATAATAAAGTTATATTTTATTTGCTTATAACAAAAATCAGTTAATTATTGTTAAAGCACTCAAACGTTCACTCAACTATTTCCGTAGCACTCAAAACTTTCGGTGGCAGAATACCCATATAAATTTTTCCATAGCACTCTATAAATTTTTAATGCTTTTCGATAATATTATTTTTCTCATTTTTACTCTTTATTATAGATTTACGTATAGAATAAATAAATTTTTATTTATGAAGTATAAAATAAAAGTTTTCATGCATATATGATGGAACAAAAATATTGAGCAAAGTTTTCGAGCATATATAATATATATTATAACTATATCTTTATATTAATTAATTATTTTTTGGAATTACATGCATGGAATATATACTTTAAGAGATTTTATTCTCTTTCACTTTCAATCGTGTAAATGACTTGTAAGTTTTATTGTTATTATCAAGATTATACGAACGAATTATTCTAATTAATTTTTTTTACTGTGCTCATTTATTTTATTCATCAATTTCAGGTACTTAAACTCTTATTTTATAATTTAAATATAATTTTTAATATAATAATTTTAAAAAATTACTCATCACAGTAAGGTACATGCGTAACACGCATACGTTAAGACTAGTTAAACAGTAATTTATATGGAAGGGGTGAAGGGATTGAGTTAGTTTCAGTGGGAGAAATTCATAAATAGCCAGATTTACAAGTGGTCATTCAAAAATAGCCACAGTTTCAAAAGTAATCGAAATTTAGCCAATTTTTATTTAAAGATAAATCTGAACGAAAACACTGTTTAAAATACGAAAAAAAAATACTCCAGTATAATATACTGGAAATCCAGCATAAGTATATTAGAACTCCAGTATATTATATTGGAGCTCCAGTGTATTATATCGGTCCAGCAAAATATATGAGAGATTGGAGCTCCAATCTACAATATATTATACTGGAACTTTCCGCATGTTGGAGTTCCAGTATAATATGCTGGAAGTTCATATGCTAGTGCACCGATCTCCACTATATTATGCTGAAACTTTCTGTGTTGCAGCAAAATAGTGGTTATTTTTTAATAACTTTACAAACGCTGACTATTTTTGAATGACCAATCCGAAAACTGGCTAGCCCGTGCTATTTTAACAGTTTCAGTATCATTTGATAAACTAGGCCGAATTTTCTATAATATATCAACAGTCCATATTATAATATATCCAGTCCAATATTTTAAAGGAAGCTGCATTAATCCCAAACAATATTTTCTGACTAAATTACAAACTATATTTATGTTTTTCTTTTTTAAATTACTGAGTAGTTACGGAAAGGAAAAAAGAAAAAGTAGAAGCTCACGAAAATAAAAAGCGGAAGTTAATCCTCTTTCTTCTATCCTCTCTATATTCTGGCGCCCAACACATTTTACCACTACTATGGCGTCTATGCTCTCTCACTCTTCTTCTTCTTCCTTTCTGAACCTTAACTTTACCAATGATTTATCGCTCTCCTTTTCTGCTACCTTCTCCCCTCCCTTGCCACAATTCCCAAAAAGGTATTATTTTTAGCTTTATCTTGGACTGTTCCACATTTGATAATTTTGATTTTAAAAAAACTGTAATATAAATGTTGCTTGTTTAAAAGACTACGACTTGGGCAGTGTAATTGTACTAAGTTTATGCTTCATTTCAGTTAACATATGAGAATAATTTTCCAGCTTTTATCTTTTGTATAATTTAAGGATTTGCAGCTTTTGTACTCTTGGTGTAATCCTGTAACTTCAAGCTGAATCATGATGTAAAGAATACCTTTGAGAATTTTTATAATTCCCTCCATATTTAAAGGGAATATTTTGTCCTTTTTTTTTTTTGCTGTACATATTAGCACCTTCTTTGTGCAAATAAGTGAAATTCTTGTCAAAAAAAGTAAAAATTATGCTTCAATTTTGTTAATTTATACCGTGAAATTCTGCTGAGGTATGAATATTCTGTTTGACTATTCGCGATTATGGATCGATATCATGGATTTGATTGTTTCTGTCGTTTGCTTTGGTTAGCTTGTATTCCAATACATTCTTTTTGTGTTCTTGTTGCTATAATGTGTATTGGTCCTTTCTCTACAGTGCTTCTAAAAAATGGAACAATAACGAAAATTATAGAAGCTATACTGTAAAGTGTGCACTTGCAAAAGCCAGAACGCCTCCTTCGCCCGCTTCTGATGCATTCATAAGGGAACCCCACAAATACTTTGATGAGGTGGTTATCACAGTTCGTGCTGGAGATGGAGGGCATGGTGCCGTTCTTAGTATGCCCAACGTTAAAGCTCCATCTAAGTCACAAGGAAAATTTGACAGAGAAAAGACTAAGAGAAAACCCTCTTATAAAAGGGACTTTGATGGCTCATTAATCCTTCCAATGGGGGGACATGGTGGCGACGTTGTCATTTATGCAGATGAGAGCAAAGATACACTGTTGGAGTTTCACAACAAGAGCAAGCACAAGGCGAAGCGTGGGGGAAATGTTGATGCCATGGGTGTGTTAACATCTTACCTGCAAAATGGACTTGCTGCACCACATTGCGAATTCCTGTTCCACTAGGTTTGTTCTTTCTCGAGCTCTCTAGTGTAATAGCTCTAGTATGCATGGGAAACTCCAGCGACAATTAGACTTATGGATNTCGAATTTGGCTTTCAGTTAATGTCGCGTGTTTATTTCGTCTGAAATAAACATGTAACATTAGCTAACAGTCAATCGAGCATTTGATTCTCCAAACAGACTTGATTTCGAAACACCCTAGATTAACGATTTGACAAATTCCAGAGATATTCGACGGAAACCAAGTGGAAATTTGGGATGAGGGAAGAGAGGGGATGATTTGGTGCTAATTTGGCTGACTTTGGATGAGTTACCGTTTTGGTCGGATTTTCGATTGAGGATTCGAGAAGTTTGGCTAGGATTTGGGGGAAGCGGTTTTGGGGGTTGGAAAGAGGAAGACGAGAGGAATAAGGGGTGTATTTTTGGAGTGGTTTGGAGCTTCGCCGCCGCCGGCGGCGATTTCCGGCCGGTGGCGGACGGTGGAAGGCGGCGGAAGGGGACGGTCTCTAGTGTTTTGGAGGAGATAGACGAGAGGGGGGGTGGGGTGCATTCAGACATATATATATATTAAAAGCTGTGGACTTCCCATCCGTTAGATCAACAATCATAGACGGCTGAGATTAATTGGAGGCGAAACGACGTCGTTTCATAGGGGAGGGGTCTGGACCGGGTATTGGGATGGGTCTTGGGCTCAATAGGCGGGTCTGAGGGGGTTTTGATTTGGGCCAAGCCAATTTTGGCCCAATTTAGTCTTCTTTAACAAGCCCCACTTCCTTTTATTTTAATTGTCCCCCTTTTTCATTTTTGTTTTGCTTTCATTTTTGTATTTTATATTTTTTCTGATTTTATAAAATGCTAAAACAAAACAAAGACCTAATTAAACTATTTAAACTCCTAAAATTATTTAAAATTTTATTTAAAGATAAATGCAACAATTAACAATTGAAAGTGCAAAGAAACTATTTTTTGCAATTTTCTTTAAATTTTGTTCTAAAACTAATTAATACCTAATTAATACCAAAATTGTGAAATTAAATCCCTAAATGCAAGTGCATATTTTTTGTATTTTCATATGAATAAAAATGCAACCAATTAACACAAGAATTTAACAAAATTCACGAAATTTGTAAAAATAATAAAGAAATCAATTATTCGAAACTTTTGGAAATAATTTGCTTAGGGCAAAAATCACGTGCTCACAGCATGTATTGATTTGTCTCACTTTCTCGCAGGTTTTAGCTATTGGCCAGCCTGGAGAGGAAGTTAGCCTGCAGTTGATACTGAGAGTTGTTGCTGATGTGGGTCTTGTTGTGAGTATCATTTTTAAACTTGAAACTTTTTGTGATTTGCAGATATGTGCATAAGCTTTATTAGCATTCTGATATCCATGATTCACTTGACATGTACTAATATATGCTGGTATACTCTGATGCATATTTAAATTGAAATTTCCTTTCAACCATTTGCACATTTAGCTAGGTCGTTTAGTCAATTAGTCAGCAAAATCTCCTATAACTTGGTTCTTCACATTGTAAAATGAAATTATGTACCTTCTGAATGTTGTATGGCAGAATTTGAACTGCTGTCAGTCAAAATTGGCTTCTTTGTTGTAAGGAAGGGATTTTATGTTTGTGGCATATCTTTTAGAAACTTTTAAATAATTGTTGAGAGCACCTAAGGGTATAGCCTAGCTATCGATGAAGTGGAATGAAAACCATAAAAGGCCATGGTTCAAATCCCTGCACAGGTAGAAAATGCTAAATGATATCCGGTACCTGTTCTGGTGGGAGGTAGCAGGTACCCAACGGCATAGTCGAGGTGCCGCAAGTTAGCTCGGACACCCATCACTATCGAAAAGAAATCTTGAGAAAAAAAGAGAGTAATTCTAGAACCTGTATCCCCTTAATCAATTTAAGCATTCGTTATTGCTATTTGTGAACCTATATTCATGGATAGTGAAATGATCTCTGAAACAGAGGCTATAAGAAAAACACTCATTTTGCTTTTTAGCTCTTACCTGTTTGACCTTCTTCATTTCTTTAATTACGCGTGTCTGTTTTGTTAAGTGCGAGGATGGCATGATGCTAGTTTTTTCGGTGACTTTTTAGCCTTTAGATCCCCAACAACATATATTGTCATTGGGACGAGTACAAATAAGTAACAACATGTAATATGTGGATTATGAAGGAAAGCCTTGACGCAATGGTAAAAGTTGCCGCCGTATGACCAGGAGATCATGGTTCAAGCGGTGGAAACAGCCTCTTGCAGAAATACAAAGGCTGCATTCATAAGACCCAATGTGGTCCGGCTCTTTCCCAGACCAGTGCATAGCCGGAGCTTAGTGCATCGAGCTACCTTTTTTTTTTAATTTTTTTTTTCTATGTAATATGTGGATTATAATGGTCGGTCGTAGAATTTGTCTGTTGTGATAGATCTACCGATTGGTTCATCACATTAAATGATCACGTACAGATGCAATTCTGTCTATTATTCTTCAGTTATCTTTAGGCTCTTTGAGTTTTATTTTGAGAATGGTAAAATTTTATAACATAAGCGCACAGTTTGTGCCAAAATACACGCAAATCAGTTCCTTTAAATCATTGTAGGAAGCTGAGAAAGTCTAACATCCTATTAACATCATCTAGTCTACACCAAAAAGCCAAAAAAGATATACATCTATATTTCAATGTATGTATGCTTTCATATTTGCTTTCAGAACATCGTTGATTCCTTTCCTTCCAAATCTCCCACAATGTGCAAGAAGGAATGGTCTCCCAGATTCTTCTTTCTCCTTCCAATACCCTTCTTTGACTTTGCTCTTTCAATTTTCCTCAGGGACTTCCAAATGCTGGAAAATCGACCCTATTGGCTGCCATTACACATGCAAAGCCCGATATTGCTGATTATCCATTCACAACGTTGATGCCAAACCTTGGACGTCTTGATGGCGACCCAAGTTTAGGGGCAGACAAATATTCATCTGAAGCAACTCTAGCGGACCTGCCTGGTCTCATAGAAGGTGCACATTTGGGGAAGGTACTTGTACCATATTCAGTTGTCACTTTAATAATTTGAGGTCTCAAACCTTGTGGTTGTCTCTTTTACTTATTTTGCTCTCAAAAATGAAATTTAGCTATGCATGTTGTCCTAATTATCTTTCAGGGTCTAGGGCGTAATTTTTTGAGGCACTTGAGGAGAACAAGATTGTTGGTCCATGTTGTTGATGTGGCTTCCGAGGACCCAGTCAGTGATTACAGAACTGTGAAAGAAGTAAGTCTAACCCCAATCACTGAACATATTTTTTTTGCTCGAGATAGTTATAACACCTTAATTGCTTCTTAACAGAAGAAAATGAGTCTGGAATCACACAGTTGTAAGGTTCATCTTCATTGACCCGGTTTGGTCTGACAAGAAAATAATAACTTTTAAGGATCTCTTAATTTGACCAGTTTACCACAAATGCATCTAAAGGTTAAAGCAACTCTTGATTACTATGTAGTATTATGGCTTCCGAAGATCATAGGTGGGACGATTGAAAGATCAACTTACCTAATGCACACCTTTTTCCTACTTATTTCCTCAGAATTGTTTCACCATGCAAATTCCTTCATCTTCATTTTTGGATTGCAACATGATTTTTGTAGTTTTGTAGTTTGCCTAGTTGTTATAGTATAATTTTGCTGGAGAAATAGTTGTTTCAAAGCTACTTCTGTTGTAGCAAACATTACTTACTATGCTAATCCAGTCTCTCTGTTTTATGGTTAACACTCCAAATGCCGGAGGACTATCTATACCCTGGTGTCTTCTTTCCTTAACATTCTGCTGAGGAAAGAGACCTCTGATTTTGCAGGAACTGCGCATGTACAATCCTGAGTACCTTGATAGACCGTACCTTGTGGTGCTAAACAAGATTGACAAACCTGAGGTATGCGGCTCTTATCATCTCTGTTCTGCTGTCAGGTTCTGATCATCTTGCTTTTTCACCTGCAAAAATGTTGTATCTTAATATGCATCTAGTTGAGGATCATCAAGTTGGTTACGTATGAAGGATATGATTATGCTTTGACAGGCAATAGACAGGCTTCCTACCTTGACTGAAGAAATATGGAGAATTGGGTGTGAAAGAATATCTTCCGAGCCCGACACAAGCTCTGGAACTGTGGCTGAATCCTTTTCTGTTGACGGGAGCCAAAACAGTGAGATTTCTTCTGGGTTATCTGCTAAGGATCAGAAGGTTAAAGAACTTGAAGAGTATCTACGCCCTCTTGCTGTTGTGGGTGTTAGTGTACTGTAAGTTCCCCTGTTATCTCTCCTCTTCCAGGTTTACCATACTTGATGACCTCAATGTTATAGTGTTTCTATACAGCAGGCTTTCCTTGAGTAACAAATTATTTCAGTCAACTTCTATGCTGCATCAGTGAATTGCAATAGGTGGTATTGTTTCTCGTGCTGTATGTTAAGCTGTTTTTAAGTACCTTTTGGTCAGTAGCGGTTTTCAGAAATTCAAGCCTCAAAGATCATGCACTCTCAGTATGAATTTTAGGCGGTGTGACTGGTGTCTTTTCTACTTGGGTTTTAACTTTAAAAGGAATGTTGATAGAGAGCTCACCTAAACCCGTCCACCAAATTTTGAGGTTTTCCTGTTTAAATGTATGAAGTAGTCTTTACCAACATATCCTGGTAAGAATTGTCTTTTCTGTTGATAAAGATCTTTGTAAAGAGCCCATATGATAACTTTAGTTTTCCTGTTTATTTTTATGAAGTAGTTTTTCTTGCTAAGAGTTAAAATCTAGCTTATCAACCCGTTTGGAAACTGTTAAAGCTGTTCTCAAACTCTCTCATGTTTTTCCTTGAAATTTTATGAGATAATACGTATTAGGAATCTTACATCTAGAAACGCAGATTTGTGCTGCTTATTTCTGGTGTTTCTTCTTAACACAGAGAAAGATGTTTTTGATATGCCCTGTGACTTTTCTCAATCCTGGTTGAGACGTGAATAAATGGTCTTCATGTTGCTAACTGAAAGATATTCTTTTTAGTTTTTACATTTGCAAAGGAAGAAACGAATTTCTGCAGTTCCTTAAAGAGCTTGGTAGCTCAGTTGTCAAAGCTAGTAACACATATAGAATTCATGGAGTAACGGTAAAGCTTTCGCTTCTTTCCTAATACTTATAAACCCCTTGCATAATATGTAACTAGGAAAAGTGTATGAATCTTATATGCCCTACTATAAACCCCTGGAATAAGGTGTAACTAGAATGGTCTGTAACAGACACGCAGATGTCCCTTCATTTTGGAAATTTAGACATGAGTGTGTGATTTTTGGCCGGTAAAATAAGTTTCTTCCTCCAAATTATCTGGCAGGCACTTAATTCCAAGATATATCTGATGTTGCTGTCATAGGAGAAGTATTTAGGAAGACACTAATATGACCCTCCAGTTTGGAACTTTAGATATCCCTATATACCTTTCTGTGTTTAAGAGAAGTCTTGATTGTCCAAATAATATGTCAGCTTCATTATTTCCATTTATATGGTTGATGCTGTCATATCTGTAATTATGTCATGTCACAACCAAGTTTTCAGGAATTAAGCTACTCCATAACACAGAAGAAAAAGAAGGAAAAAAAAAAAAAAAGACACTTCATTGTTATATTTTATTTTGTGCTCATCACATGTACTTTGCATATTTTATGGATCCCATATTTGATAAATAAATTATGTTATTCTCCAAGATATAAGAACGGCGCTGGTTTCAGCCAAACCTCTTCACCCTATATATAGTTACATGTTACTTTGGGTGGCAAACAATGAAAGTTCTCTTATGTCGTTGCTTGTAGAAAAGGGATTAAAGTCAATGAGATGTTGAAAGAGATACGGACGGCGCTTTGCAAATCCCTATGATGCAGCCTTTGCTACTGTCAAAATATTTTGTCAGGATTGATGAAGTTTTAAACCGTTAAAATGATTGACTGCCTTGACATATCATATGCTGTTGTTGCCTGGGTTTTGGATGCATTAAGGACTATAGAGGCAAAATTTGTCAGCCTAGTCTTCAAGTTATCAAAGATTATATTACTTTACGTCCATACTGCAGTCTTTGGGATCTGTACCTCGGCCATCTCATGCTGGAAATTAGCGGCTGTGTGTGTGTGTGTGAATATTCTTTGAGATCCACCTTGATCCTTGCCGCTCATTTGTTCAGTTTAATATTCAAACACCTCCAGCTCCTGGGGCAAGAAGCTGTCCGCTATGACATTTTTTCTCTAATGTATTAAAGAAAAAAGGTTAAAGAAACGCATAGTTTATGTTTTATATTCTCTCGCTAGTTATATTGGTGTATGCATGTTTCATCTTGTAAAATTAGGTGTATGAAAAGCCTCAAATCCAGGAAATACTTTGTACGATGTCAACTATTTTATATGCAAGAGCATAACACATTACGTCTTAACAATTTAGTTTGATGAAATTTTGGTCTAAGTTAATTGATGCCAACTTTGTTAGGGATTGAAGCGTAAATGATCACGACATGACGCTATAGCTTTCATTTTTTTTTTTCTCAAAAAGGAAAAAAGAAACTTATTTTTTAGCTTGTGCTGTCGTAAGCATGACACATTAAACTTTTATGACGCGTTACACGCGTCACATTTTTGTTTTTTTCCTCTTCGGATGTCTTTATAGCCATTTAAGGCTGCTTTTGTGAATAGTGTTCACATGCATTCTCTTACACGACGTGAATCCGAATTAGTTGTTCTAACTATTTTATATGCAAGAGCATGACACACTTATGTCTCAAAAATTTAATTTGATGAAAGTTTGGTCTCAGTTAATTTATGCTAACTTTGTTAGGGATTGAAACGTAACTGATCAGGACATGATGCGTAGCTGTCGTGGGCATGACGCCTAAAACTTTTTTTTTTAAATGACGCGTTACAAGACATGTTTTTTTTGTCTTTTTCTCTCTTCGGATGATCTTTATAGCCATTAAGGCTCCTTTCTTGAATAGTGTTCACATGCATTGTTCTTATACGATGCGAATCCGAATTAGTCAGGTGAATATGAATACTTTATCATATACTATAAAGATGGTTTTCCTAGTATGACCAGTGGCAAATAATCTCATACTACTCCATTTTCCATGATTCACTCTCTTTTATATTGGGAAGAGGAGCCTAACCCCCCCCCCCTCCCCCAACTGCTAGTCCCTGGGGGTGGGGGTGGACAATAGTACGAGATTTTGTACTTAGCGACAGGAAGGTTCCGACAGGAGGACATATTTTCCACGGACTCACAAGACTCGTGTGAATGAAAAGAAACTCTTTGGAAAACTGCATTTACTATACCCAGAGACTCAGTTTGTTAATTCTTCAAATCAATCTAATCTTCTCTATTTGGCTTATTCATTAGTTTTCCTCTTTTCTACTTTGCCATGAATACCACAAATGAATCTGGACTAACTTCCAATTTTACACAACTGTTATCCATCAGACTTTAAACAGCCACGTATATTAAAGCTACCTCTTCTTAATTGTCTATATCTCCTCTGCTATGTTTTTGGAGTGATTCCGTACTTATCCACACTCAATTTTTTCCCGGGACTGATGTAAGGATTTACTTCATCCTATTTTTTAATTTGGTTTTCTACATGCCAGTTTCAAAACAAGGAAAAAAACTCACTTTTTCCAAAAAAAACATGACAGTACATTTTTATAAATTTCTTTAATTTTGAACTTCTTAATTTTTTTAATTAAAAAAAGGCAGTTCAATGCACTAAGCTCCCCGCTATGCGCAGGATCTGGCAAAGGGCCGGATCATAAGGGTCTATTGTATGCAGCAGTGGTGAAGCTAGGAGTTTCGTTTATGGTGTTTAAACTTGAAATAAGTAAAAAAATCCTCGATAAAGGGTGTTCAATATATGTTAGTATATATCTAATGTTTTGCCTATATATACAATGTAATTTTTCGACGAAGAATGGTCAATTGATTTCACCCTTAGGGCTATGTACCTTCGCCTGTAGTACGCAGCCTTACCCTGCATTTCTGCAAGAGGCTGTTTCCCTCAACTTCTTATTTTTACAACTACAAAAATATCATGGCATGTCTAATACCATAAATTTTAATAGTAATATTTTTGGTATGCAGCAAAATTCGTTTTTTTTTTTCTTCTTATACTCTGTGTTCACTTAAGCACAGTCTACTCATACACTATTAATATGAAACGCAGGTTGAAATGGGAAAACTTTAAAAGGAAAAAGAATAAGAAGAAGAAAACCTAAAACAGCATTCTGAGGTGTAACACTCTTGTCTTCGACAACTTTGCTTCAGAACAAAAAAACGCATAAGCATTTGTATTAACTAGAGACACAAAACATGATCTTCTTTAAAAAAAAAAATACAAACATGATCAAAAGTTTCACTTGACAAGTATCAACAAGCTAACCATGTAAACAGACACGTATCTTAGACTTGTTTCCTCCATTAAAGCGCAACCCATTTTCACCTTTCCTCAACTATAAATACTCTCATCTAAAACCAATCTCCATCTATACAAAAACTCATTTTCTCTTCTGAAAAACTCAGTCCTCATTTTGCCCAACAATGTCATCAACTTACTCTGTTGAAAGAAAAACCAAAAAAATAACTCAAGCTACTTCAAGAAAAGGCTGTATGAGAGGTAAAGGTGGGCCTGAAAATGCTAGCTGCACTTATAAAGGTGTGCGCCAGCGTACTTGGGGGAAATGGGTTGCGGAAATCCGCGAGCCCAATCGCGGAGCCCGCTTGTGGCTCGGCACTTTTGAGAATTCTTATGACGCGGCCGTGGCATACGATGCCGCGGCCCGTAAACTCTACGGAGCCGATGCGAAACTCAACTTACCTCATCTCTACAACAAACAGGCCCAGGCCCAGAATTCTAGGCCCAATACCATGGGCCTAGACAATGCTGGAGGCCCAGTTTCAGCTCCTCCGACATGCAATCCAGCTGCTTTTTACAATGTGGCATCACCATCAACTTGGAGTATGGGAAATGATCACACATCTTTCTTTTTCAACAATTATTTTGGTAACAACAGTTTTTCTACTGCGGATCAAACTTCATTTCAGTTTCTGGACATTAATCAAACAGCTGAAGAGTTTGATGAAAACAATATTAATCAGAATGAAGGAATAGGTGGAGAAATGTGGAGAGATTTGAATATGAATTTGCCAGAAATTGATGATTCTTCAATATGGGAGGAAGCAAAAGCATCAACTTCATTTCAAGAAGCAGTGAGTGATCCAGGAATATATGCATGCAACTTGGATGATGGGATTAATTATCCTCCATGGTGTGGTTAATTAATTACTTAATTATTATTTTGTTGTTGTTTAATTAGCTCTTTTTATATGGTAAAGAAAGAAAAAAACATGCATGCGTGTAAACTTGTAAAGGTATAATTAGCATGTATAGAGCTAATGTGTACTATGGTGTGTTGATAGAGTATATGGAATGCAAAATGTTCAGTTATTGTATTAAACAAAAAATTAACAAAAAAATAAATAAAAAATTATAGCTCTATATATATATAAGAGTCTATAAACTTAGTAGTTTGCCATTATATCTTTTTCTTCATCCTTTTTCTTGGAATATTTGGCTCAAGCATGTGCTAATTAAGCACATTCTTTCATAAAATATTAATCATAGAAAAACCTTTATGAAAGTATTAACATCCACAAAGCTAATATGTGGAATGTTATTACCAAATATATATATGTGTGCATGTCTATGTTGAAAAACAAATTGATATCTGCTTAGTTACTTGAGAATTTTTTTTCAGTCTAACTTTTGGGTGAGATTAAAAGTCTAGAAATTGACATGCATGCGCTAGCTAGCTGTGTTTTATAAAAGCCTCCATGTCAGAATGTCACTATTTAAGGTTTTGACTATTTCTTTTTCTCTTTTTCTCTTTTTCTTTTCCCTTTTTTTTCTACTTATGGGGTGGGTTCGGGAACATATGAATAATCACATTGATTATTTACGTACTACGTAGTAAAGGTACTACTTAGTTACGTAAAAATGGTATAAATATCGAAGACTAATGCAAATCGACTTCTTATTTGTTATGTCATTTATACAATTCCTTTTCTTATTTCTAACACAGTAAATGCTTTCTAATAAATGTATCTTCTGAAATGTACTACGGCTTCATGCCCAGAATCCGATAGTGGAACTGGAATTGCCTTCTCTATCCACTGGTACTCCTCCTTCAGATGGCCTGCTTTCTGCACCTATTTCATTGCCTTCCATCAGCCGGTTTCACCTTCCGTTGTTGATTCCTCTTCCGGGACTCCTACTTCAGGCTCCCCTTTATGATGGTATTTCACCTTGATCTTGTTCATTAGAACTTTGACAACCACCACCATCACTACCTCCTCCTCCTCCTTCTTCTTCTTCTTTCTTTCTTCTTCTTCTTCTTCTTCAATTTCAACGGAACCACCATCTCTCCTCCTCCTCCACCTCCTCCTCCTCCTCCTCCTCCTCCTTCTCCTTCTTCTTCTTCTTCTTCAATTTCAACGGAACCACCATCTCTCCTCCTCCTCCTCCTCCTCCTTCTTCTTCAGATTTGACCGCAACTACCATCTCTCCTCCTCCTCCTCATCATCATTCATTAGATCCAATTTCCATAGTCGTTATCATAGCCGCCACTGCTATCACCTGCTCCTATTTTAGATTCAGCCACAACCACCATCACCATCATTTCCTTCTCCAAAATCTCCTATTACCAACTAGCACCTCTTCCTCATTTTCATTCTTCAGATTCGTCCACCACCACATCGTCTTTGTTTTTCTTGATATCCGACCGCCACCATTAGTGCTTCCTCCTCATTCACTACTTAAAAACAGGGCAAAAATCGACCAATGATGGTCAATAATTGGTAAATCGATAGAAAACCGACCGATTCATGATGGTCGGTAGACCCAACCGATCGACTTCGGTTAGTCTAAATTCCATAATCGGCCAAAAAAGAATAACCGACCGTCTTTGGCCAATTTTTAAAAATTATGTAATTAAAATGCACCATTTGGAAACTAAACTGGGATCTATGTCGTGGAAAGATACTATTCGACCACTAGACTATTAGCGCCTTTTGGTTTAAGACTTTTTTTTATTTTATTTATATTATTTAATTATATTTTTGCGCAAAATAACTGACCAATTTTGGTCTTTAAAAAAAACCGACCGAAATCGGTAGGTTTTTTAAAATGACCGACCGAAATAAATGATCGATTTTGTTCAATTTTTTGAATAATAATTTTAATTTATTTTAAATAAAAAACTAACCAACGTTGGTCGGTTTCTTAAAAAATATATTTCATGTGGCACAAAAATAATTTTCCGCATTTGGTGCCCAAGAAATTCCCTGCGTTTCGTTAAAAAAAACTATAAAAGAAAATATATTTTAAACCGACCGACGTATGTCTGTTT